CCCCCCCCCAAAAGCAGTGTCCTGGCCCAGACACACCAAGTCACACGAGTTTGCGACATCTGCTGTCGACTCTCTTGTTGTGATCACAATATTTGATTCTGCTCTGCGGGTGGCTCAGGCGCCGCCAGTATTCGTGGGCTTGATGAGTACTTGTGTGGCGCTGGCTGGAGTATGGAGGCACTTACTTACTTCTTCTCTTTGTTTCCTGGTTTGATCTCTCTTCCCTCACAGGTCGGCGCAGTCATAGGCATGGCACCAACAGCGAAGAAATCGGTACGTGCAATTCGTGGCTGACGCGCGAGTACTCGAGGGGTCGGGAGAGGAAGGAAACTTTGTCGTGTGGATGGGAAGGAGGCAGGGCGGACGAGCCCTGGGAGCTGTCCGGGGGACAAGCACTTGGAAGGCACGCCTTCACGTTGCTCGAGCATGGAAAATGTCCGCAGGGAACTTGAAGGCGCTCGAGGCAGTGGTGCGGGTGTCTGGGCGTGCGACAGGGACGAGTCAGGCCCTTGTCTCCCTCGGTCTCCCCGCCCTCTCACCCCGTTTCCCTTCCCCTTGCCCGACGCACAGAAAAAGGCCATCGAGTCCATCAACTCGCGTCTGCAGCTGGTGATGAAGTCGGGGAAGGCCTCGCTAGGATACAAGGAGACCCTCAAGACTCTCCGCAACAACAAGGCGGTGGTGGTCATCATCAGCAGCAACTGCCCCCCTTTGCGGAAGTCGGAGATCGAGTACTACGCCATGCTCAGCAAGACCGAGACCATCCTCTACAACGGCTCCAACACGGACCTGGGCACGGCCTGCGGGAAGTACTACCGCGTTTCGGTCCTCTCGGTCACGAATCCGGGGGACTCGGACATCTTGCCTTCCGAGTGAGGCGGGAGGTTGCCGGGGAGGGCGCGGGGAGGGCGCGGTCACGGCTGAGGGGGAGCGAGGGGAGGTTCAGGCCCGGCCCTGAGGTGTGGGGGCTGTGAAAAAAAAGAAACGAGGCCGTCCGAGCCCCCCCTTGCAAGAGGGAAAACACCGAGCTTGCCGCCTTTTTATTATTTTCTTGCCCTGTCTGCGTTTTCTTGACTTTCTTTACAAAAATATTTCCCAGCCCG